CAATTGAGGCGGACGAGCCCGTTAGTGTGATGTGGAACGGTGTATATATACTTTATTATATAGTCTACGTTTACGGCTCATGGGCCCGCGTATGACATTCGCCTGAAGCCCAGAGTACTGCTTAGGCCGCATTTGGAAACGAAATGCTGCACAATAAATAAAAACAACTTCCTGTACATCCAGAATCTTGATCGTATTTTTTTCCCCCATTTCAGTCTCACGTGCTTCCTGTCTCTAAGCTCATCCCCGTGTGTTATAAATTATTGCGTCATTTCCTGAACACACAAACACATATACATAAGGAGTTTTCAGGAATCTAATAAGAGAGTATCAAATTAGTGCAGACTGACACAATTCACAATGACACAAGTGTCCATTTTAAAAATCTATATATATATATATAATTCTCTTCTTCCATCAAGAGTTTAAACAAGAAGTAAAGAAAAGATCACTCTGCGGATAGTCTGCGGGCAGAGCACGCTCAAGAGTTTGAGGGACACAATGGAAAGATCACTCTTTTATTTTTGCAACTCGGACGGAGGGAGTTATCCTTGGTCGTTTAAGAGCGGGAAAAAAAGACAATTTTCGTCTGTATATTTCAGGAGATTGGTATGAGTTTTCAAAAGATTTTAATAATTTTCGGATATTTCCAGGACATTTTCGTATATTTTGCAATTTCAGGAGATTTCCAGGAACTCCTGTTAAATCGACAGGAGGCCGGGGGAAATCTGTTATAAGTTATAAAATGGTTTAATTTAATAATTAATACCCCAAAATTAGCGCGGGTCCTATAAAAGTGATGGGCCCACTGCGGTCGCATAGGATGCAGTGGCCAAAGGTTGGCCCTGCAAAATAGCGGCGTATGCCATGCCGCCGGTCGACTAGTACATAATAAATAAATAGGCTAAATAGCGCAATACTAAATAAGCATACATTTTAAGAAACCAAATACTTTTCAAACACACAAGATAAATTTACACATGTCCGGTCTGATTAATACTATAATACTATAGAAGTTTTTTTTTCAAAGTTACAATGGTTTGTAAACCAAAAGAATATTTTTTTTTTAATGTAAAATGAACAGCAGATCATGGCACCTTTTTTTTTCTGGAATAAAAATAAAGATTATGCTTATATGTAGGCTTAGGCCTATATGTGAATTATATAAATCTTCCTGACAAATTTAGGTCATAGTTCGTTCCGTAAAAAAAAAAAAGCATCCCATCATTACGTTCAAACATTGGAAAGGTCATTTTGTGATCCTTACATATGTTCCTGAAATTTTTCATCGACGTTAAAAGTAAGGTGATGAAAAATTAATCCAGACTCCCCTGGCCTCAGCGGGAGTCAGCTGCCAGTTGAAGTTTCGTCCTCTCCATTTGCAGTTCCTACGCCATCTAGCTGTTTATTAGCCAGAGTGAAGGGCAGATACGTTTCTACCACAAGTCTAGATATGAATCTAGCCTAAAGTTTTAAAAAAAAATGGAATGAGTGCAAAGAATGTAGGCACTATTTTCCTCTTTTAGCTGTGTGGATTGGGAAAAATGGAATTGTATTACAAGCCCATATTAGATTAAGAGCGAATTCACAGAATCAAACGTCCATAATGTTTTTTTTGCTATCGATTTAGATAGCTGCATACGGTGATCAGATATTTGGGGAGAGAAACAACATTGTACTATTGGGTTTGTATCATAGACATAGAAATAGGCTATACAGGCATGTTGGCCTAGACCAAGGTCAACTACAATCACGAAGGTCACTCCTAGACTGACTCAATTAAATGTGCTATATAAGGTGACCTTCGATGAATACTGTAGGTAATCTGCGCTTGTTGCGCCATTATCCCGTTGATTGTTAGAAAGGCTTTTATCCAACAACCAGGCCTGGACATAGGGTTCTTCACCCCTGTCCTGTCTGAGGGCTCCCAGCGGTAGACGGCCATATTGATTGACTGGGCCAGATCGGGTTGTGCCGCGTACACAGCGCACCGTCCCCGTTCCTGGGTTCCACTCGCTACAAGTGGCCAAAAACAGTGCTGACTGCGGGGATCTTGTCTCATATTTCTATACTGTAACTGCCACTGTCCCGCGTGAGAACCGCCACTCCAGCTAATCCGGTCACTGATGACGGTCCCCTTTGTGGAACGGCGTGGCGGACTTTTTGGACTGGGGTGCAGATTTCTTGTTCCATCCCCACCCCGAGTGAGATTAAAAAAAAAAAAAAAAGCTCACCCAGGGAGACCTACTAGAAGGCCTGGTTCTCTACTCGTACTTCGCCTATCTAGTTCCACTACTAGACGTTTCCACCGGAGCGTGTATGTCGAAGGCGCCGACCGGAGGCGCCACGCTGAGGCGACGGGTAGATGAAATCCTCCGGTCTAAGGTGACCAGACGTCCCGACTTAGGCGTGTCAGTCCCGCTTTTGACCGTCTGTTACGCTTTTCATAAAAAAAACAAAAAAACTCGAGCATTGTCACGTTTTTTTTATTTTAAAATCTTTCTTAATCTTTTGATTAATAAATTAGAAGTACCGCTTTGTGGCGTTTTCTTCTTGGTCCTTAGTACATGTTCGCTGCTTAGAAAGCTCCCCTGTGAGGTAAGGGTTATGCTTTTATTTTGCAGCATCCTGCCTTCTTCTCAGTAAATGACGTCAGCACGTTTGTCTTCGACTTTTGGCGTGTTGTTGTTCTGCATGTTTCTCGCTGAGCCATTTAAATTGTCACGTTGACAGGTCTAGTTGTGACTTTCGTGATTGTAGTCGACATTGGTCTAGGCCAATCGGCTTATATGTTTCTATGTCTTAGATATAAATCCAGTACTACAATGTTGTTAAGCGATGCAGACATTAATAAAAAAGCTTAGTTTTATTATTTCAACAAAGACACAACCATTTTTTGATGTGTGTGTTATTGCGCTTAAGGACGTTTATCATAATAAATAAATATCTTTTTATTAGACCGACTACTTTTATTTCTAGTCTGTCCGTTGGTGATGAAGGTCGGGGTGAGGACTTCGAGCAGATGTGACCGTTCTAAGAGTAGGCCAAGTGATTCTCATTGAACTCAAAACTCTCCGAGTCTTTGCACTGGCGGGGATGGAAGACAGCTCTGTCATTATCCACACGCCGTTCCTCGAGAGGCTGTTTTATGGCGGACAACCGCGCGGCTGATGTGGTATAGAGAAAGAATATGAGGGAGTTTGCCCGGTGTGTTCGACTTTTGATTTTAGTCAGAGCGTCTTGAGACACAAGCCATCGGCAATAAGGATGTAACAATTCACATCTGCTTGGATCCTTCCTAGACAGAACAATGATTCAGACAAGCCGGTTGAAGGAAGGAATCTTCCATGGGCTTAGAGTTCAACCCAACTCTTGCAATCACAAAGATACACACATTGTAAGACATCCATTAGTCGAAGTGATTAGAGACAGGGCTATTCTAGCGATTGTACCCCACGATGACCTGCTAACTACTGTCAAAAAATGCAAACTAAAACTATATGGTTATATTACAAGGTTTTTCGGCTCGCAAATACCTTCTTTCAGTGAACAGTAGGCCTACCAGAAAAAAAGAAGAGGCAGACAGAGAAAGCGACGAGAAGACAACATTAAAGAATGGATGGGCCTGCCATTGAAAAATGTTTAATCCAAGGCAAAAGACAGAAGGGAATGGAGAAAGACGGTCGATAAATCTGGCAACGGTTGAACAGACTAAGGGATAGGTGAAAGTGATCGCGGAAAATTCTTTTTTTTATAAGGATATCGCATATTTTGTTCATTAACTTTTTTCCCCCGTATACTTCAAAATTCTTTCCCCTCCCTCCCCCCACCCAATTTTTAACCTTCATTATTTTTTTCCCACTCTTCTGCAGGAGTCCTGACATGGCCACCATCAAGCAAAAAATGATCTACACAAGCAGCAAACAAGCGTTGCGTAACAAAATGAGAGGCATTCACGCAGAAATACAATGTACCGAAGACTCTGACCTGACCATGTCCAACGTCCTTGAGAGAATCTGCAGCAAATACACGTGACCTTTCTCGTCACGCTACACCCAAAGCAAACAGACTTATTTTGATTTAATGAAGCAGCAGACATGGCTTGGAATCACGCGCACGTTGTATGACCTCTCGCTCCAAAGGACATGTTTGAGTCCAGTCGATGTTGCTTCCAGAAAATTAACATCCTCTGTTCCTACTTCAGTAGCTGCTGTACTGGTGACCAGCATTAGAGAAAGCTTTGTACTGATCTCCCTTGGCTGTTGTAGCTCTTTAATGTCTAAGCTTACAATTCAAATTACTATTTTGTTATTCGTGTTTTATACTGATTCAACAATTTCATTCATGTTTCAATGTGTCTATCTAGAAGCTAGATCTATACTGTCTTTACTTTCTAAAAGTTAATTGAGAGAGATGAATTAGCTTTTAGATTACAGATCTACCAGTTAACTATTTTAATTGTGTGTCTATTTTATTTTTAAATGTTGAAAATTGAATGTAATGTCATATATAGAATGTTATGTCATAGACTGACATAGATTGTCATTTGAAGTATGGTGAATAACTATCTGTTTTGTGATGATTATATAGATGAATTAATTAATTAAAATAACAATTTGAAAAAATAGACACGTTATCAAATATGACTTATAATCTTGTAACTTGAAGATTTGTAACAAAAATTTTTTAATTAAAAATTAGATACTACTTTATATATCATCCTTTCGGATATTTGACCCATTGATGTTTTCAGTATATCTAGCTAATACTCTTTATAGTGTACACATTTAAAAGATTCTTTGAGGTTCATAACATATTGTCTAACATTACCATTTAGAAGTATTTGAAGTAACAAAAGCGTGTTGGATAGGGGTAATAGTTCTGAGCATAAACATTTTGTAAAGGTTTCTTTGTTTGGAAATAATTCCAACTTTGGTGGTTTTGGTCTTCACCATTTTGTGACAGAACTCTTAAAAATGGCACACGGTGAGTTGCACCACTGAGTTGCAATCTAAATGCTCATGGAAGGCATGTGTGTCAACTAATTAGAGCAAAGATAAATGGCATTAACTGATAAACTCCCTTGATATCAATGCTCTAAATTTTGTAACTCGCCATGTTGTAGCAGTTCTCATGAGTGTCCACATAAGATGAAACAAAAATAAAATCTTTGATATTTCAGGTCATGATTACATTGTTAAACATATTTTTTTTTTATAGATATTTTAAAGTATGACATCATTGACAATAATATTTAAATGACAAGTTTGCGTGATGCTGGAACATGTCATTTTTATTTGAGACCCACTCAGGTAGGTTTTCAGAAATGCATTCCAGCACATGTTAAAAGAAAAAAATATTTTTTTGTCCAGGACTATGGCTTAAAAAAAAACTGTTTAACTTAAACAATACCATTTACATCAACTTAAGTTTTTTGCATAAGAGAGATTAAAGTTTTGGCTACATTTATAGTTACTGTGATGTCCTAATCAAGTGTGATGATTGGAGCTTGAATTGAGTTGATGTTTAACAGTTTCATTTAGGAAACTAAGAGTAACATTTCTTAATAGTTAGCGGTACCCTTACTTTTTGTTTTCTTAGCACAAGAGAGTAATTTTTTTTTACAAATTATTTAGAGATAAAAAAATGAAAATGTTTGAGATGTAGATGCTAGAGGTATGGATTGAATGAGTTTACAAAGTTATTAGATGATGTACATTTTTATTGATTATATTTTAAATGTTCATAATATGCTCCTTTTTATTCATTATTATCTACTTAATAAATCTACAACAATGTAGTCACAGATCAGAAGTCAATGTAATCAAAATAAATTTGATTTTTTGTTTTCTTGCTTAAGTAGGTGTGTTACATTTTTTTAAAATGGCAGGCTGAAAAGATCATGTGTAACAAGCAAAAGAAAAAAAATAACTCTCAAAAACAAAGCTTATTTAAGGGAAAGAACCACTAATTACTGCCATTACTTTCAGATGGCAAGGTTTAGTTCCCTTTCTGCCATAATAATTACTACTAATTGATTATTTAATTGGTTAATTTTTCTATTGATTTATACATTGACGTTGATTATGAATAATTATGAAAAATTTCAACTTGATCCCAAAAAATGGAAGTGGGAGAAAAATGTGACAAAACAGTAACGGGATAAATCCATATATGCATCCACATCTCTCACAGAGTAGCACTTATTCTCCTTATTAATTAACTACTTGATTAATTGTTTTATTTGATTTGTTAGTTTCAATTAATAATTGGGCAAAGTTTCAACTTGATCCTAGAATGGGAAGTGGGAGAAAACTTGTGTAAAACTTTTAAACCGACAGACAAAGCGAGTTGATAAAAGCTTTGTAAAATTAGGTATCTGTTGGCTAGCTATTTCAATGCTTTTGTCGCAACAATATATGTATTAACTAAAGGTTATTTAAGAGCAGTGCAAGGCTGCTGAATGTTTACTCTGGGTATAAATGAAATCAGTCACTAAAAGTGTGATCTAGCTGAACATGGATATTAAAAAGTAAGCTTTCTCTGAACCTTAATTGACCACCTCAGAAATAAAATATTCTCCGTAATGTGGTGTATTCAAAAAGAAAGAAGTGTAAACAGGTAGTTTATTTACACGGTTCGAGCATTTACAATTTTTAAAAAAATTGACATTTAAACCAACTAAAATCAGTTAATGTGACTAGATTATTGTTAGCAAAAATATACAATTATCAAACACAAATTGCATTGATAAATACTTTATTCAACAAATCAATTTAAAAAACACTTCATCTTTATCAAACAAATATATTCTTAAAATACCAATGTTTCAACATTAAATGTTTTTTTAAAAAATGAGTTCTAATTCTACCTAACACTAAAAATACACATGGCATTTAGACTTAAAGCTCACCCAGACAAATCATGCCACTCATAGCTCTCTTTCTATTAATTATTTTTCCAATAATATTCATTAAAATTTAAAAGTATTAATACTTTTCAAAAATGTATGTATCTATGGAGAGAACAAGACCAGCTGTAAATACACTTCGAAGGAGTGCTTCTTTAGATGCAAGGTAATTGTCAAGCACAAGTTTAGGATGTAAAGAATTATTTATAATTTCTGCGGGTTGATCTAATGCCACATTTTGAAAAGATGCACTTTCATGTCTTGGAATAATAGGAAAATTTTCCATACAAGATTTTGGTGCAGACTTCATCCCACAGCAGCAGTGTGTATAATCTGAGGAAAGTGGTGAAAGACTGGTTTCTGGAAGCTTCCAACAATGATAGGACACAGGATCCACTAGGAGCTGCACTGGATCTTTGTGAATGGCATAGACCCAGTTGTGAAGACTGGCTAAAAAAACTGACAATGCAGACAAAACTTGACCATCTGAGCAACTGACCTCTTTGGAAATTTCCTTCATTTTAGTTGTTATCTTCAAAGAACAAAAAATGTTCAACATATATTAAAACTCACCAGTTGAATGTATGTAAGCAAAGGAAGGTAACAAAAGCTGATAAGGTTTTAGATCATTCAGAAATAATTTCAAGGGATGAAAAGAGTTTTTTTTTCTTTTGGGTTCTAAGTGTATCTTTCCTATCAAGCTTATTCAGTTTAATCAAATTAAAATTTAGTTTGACTACCAAGTTTTAATTTGAAAAAAAAAGAAAAGTTGTTTATTTTCAAATGCCTTCCATTTCCTTCCATTGGGTTTAAAACAACTTAATTTCCAGCAAAAGATTAAAATACTATTAAAGCATTGACTTGATATAGACTCAATAATGAAACACTTAAACATTCATTGAATTCTTTTACTAGCTCTTTAAAACATGAGTATAATTGTGACGATCACATTTGCCGGGGATTATATTATCAAACTTGACAATTCAATGAAATGAAGAAACATCTCTCTGTATTTTCTTCAAACTTCTTTAATAACTTCTCCAACTTTCACATCAAATTAACTTCTTAATTCAATAACAACTTGACTTAATACTTCATAAATAAAACATAAATGATACATGAAACTTCACTTAGTATAACTTCAACTACTAAAACTTTACTAAATGGACCCGCTAATATCATAAAACTTATTACTGAGTGAGGACCAATGCTCTAAAAGAACTACCACTATGCGAGGACTCCATCTAACTCACTTTCCCTTAATTTATACTTTCTTTGATCGTACGTTCCAGAATCATGGAACCTTCTCAGATAATTATTTTAGTAGCTTTGACCTTCTAGAAGCTGACTTGTGCTATTTTTTCCTTTAACCCCTTTCTTTGGATACCTAAAATTAACTTGTTTATGCTGGACACTTGCACTGGTTTGAACTCGAGCTTCTAGAAACTGGTTGAAATAGGTCACAGACTCGACTCGTGACAAAAATATAATGATCTGTAATATGACTTTCCAGCTTGTTCAGTTGATTTTAGTTAAACAAAAAGTCAATGTTATAAGCAACAATAAGTTGATTCCTATGTTACTTTCCTTTAATATTAAAAAAAAAAATCAAGGAAAATGCAAGGGTAAAAATAAACTAATCAGGTTTTTATTATTTACAGATTAAAATAATAAAATCTAGAGTTTCACAATGTGATTCTATAACTGTGAACAAGTTAATGAGGTTTGAAATTATAATTTCAACCTTAAGATTAAAATACTATTAAAGCATTGACTTGATATAGACTCAATAATGAAATACTTAAACATTCATTGAATTCTTTTACTAGCTGTTTATAACATACTAGCTGTTTATAACACGAGTATAATATAATGATCTGTAATATGACTTTCCAGCTTGTTTAGCTGATTTTAGTTAAACAAAAAGTCAATGTTATAAGCAACAATAAGTTGATTCCTATGTTACTTTCCTTTAATATTTAAAAAAAAAAATCAAGGAAAATGCAAGGATAAAAATAAACTAATCAGGTTTTTATTATTTACAGATTAAAATAATAAAATCTAGAGTTTCACAATGTGATTCTATAACTGTGAACAAGTTAATGAGGTTTGAAATTATAATTTCAACCTTAAAAAAATGTGAGCTTACTTTGCTTTTCAACTGATAAGCACAGTGACTCTGCCAACATCCTCCACCTGGCAACAGCTTCTGTTCTTTAACCAAAGAATGAAGACCAGTTAGAACTGTTCTAACAGAGGCCTGAAACATATAAAATCATTGAATTAGTTAGAAAAATCAAATAGCATCACTACATTAAGGTTCACCTTTCTGCCTTTACTTTGGCATTTGTTGATGAAGACGGAGGACAGTGTTGCAAAAAATTTACAAGCGTGTCAAGAGGCTACGTAGATGATTTTAGTTCCACCCAATCTCCAGTCCAAACAGATGTCTAATTACACACCAAAATTGGGTTGACCTAGGAAATCTCTTTATATCCTGATAGAAATTGATCAGTTATGTTTAATGGGTCACTTTTCAAAAATAATTTTTGTTCTCACTAATATCAGACTGAGATGTTAAGTCTCCTTAAAGCCTGGTGCACACTGATCATATGTGGTCCAAAAGCATAATATAAAATATTCCATTATTTGAAATTATTGTGCAAGAAAATAAACTCAATTGGCTATGGATGAAGCCATGTTGCCCAATGTGAATACAAAATATGTCAGGCTAACTATTAATAAATGGTTGAGAAAAACCTCTGATTAAAATATGTTGTACAATCATAAGCAAGTACATAAGCAAGTACCAAATGAACAAAGTAATACCTTCAATTCAGACAATCTCTCTTCCCATTGTTCACAGATAACTAGAGTGACAACTGATGATTGGGTTCTAGTTAAAAGTAAGAAACTCTTCTCTGCCAGAATCGAGTGCTCCACTGTTGTCACCTTACCTATTTTATCACGAATGCCTGATATTTGGATGAATGAAGCAATGGGTTCTGCACCTAAGACAAAAAAAAAATGTTCAATAGATCAAGAATAATATTAGTTGTTTTTTTAAAATATGTTTCATTATGAAAGCCAGACAGATGAAAATGATGGGCTGACTGAATTAACTCTTAAAACATGGGTTTCAGTAAGAGATGGCAGGGGATACCATTTATATAACTGATAACATAAAAACATTTTTGAATAGAGTATCTTTAAAATTTTATTAAGGTAATGATCATTTACTTTATCAACAGAAATGATATTATGGTCAATGGTAGAACAAAATCTGAAAAATACTTAAAAATTAAACTTGAGATTTCTGAAAAACAAACTTTCTAGAACTAAAGAAAAGAAAAACACTTATAGCTTATTATTTAACAAGTTAATATTTTTACCTGTGAGATCTTGCAGGTAAGGGATTATCTGTAATCCAGTACGTTCTACATACAAGATTCCTTTTGAACTGAAAAGAGTTTTCAATTTTGGGTGAATCACTTTCTGACACAGCACTAGGCCGACATTCAGCCTTTCAAGTTCTTCTGAAAAAGCCATCATTCTGCCCATGATCATGTTCTGTAGATCATCACAATTTTTTTGTGTCACTTCATAGACTGCATCAATTATCTCCTCCGAATCCCCTGACAATGAACATGTAACTAAGGCCACTTTGATGCAAACATTCATTAAGGTTTTACCCCCAGCAACACCAAAATCTTCAGCAGTTTTCACAGACAATTGTACTATTCCTTTCAGGGAAGACAGCTCAGAATACTCTATAAAAAGTCCATGGTGCAAGCAGCTCTCTTTAATGTGCCTTTTTTCTAGACCAAGAACAAAGACACCATTAGATATACGACCTTGTGCAACCACATGCGACCCAGGAATAGATTCCACAAAGGCTGTGACTATGAGCTGAGATATGTTTTCACACTCATGGTCATTCAGTGTTGCA